GTTATTAAAAAATATGTGTGAATAAATTACATTTATAGTGTGCAAATTTTAAGCCTCTTTGATGTTGTAATCGTAAACAAGCGGTTCGTATGCCCAACAAGGCATAACGTATTTAACTTTTGTTCGCCCAGTAGTTGAACACGAAAAACATAATATATGAATAGAACTTACCTATCTATGTATATAAGAAAAAAATATATCCAGATTTGTTTAGAGTGACTTTGATGTGATAAAAATTTATAGTAGGAAAGATGATTATTTTGTAAAGTTTATATTAAAAATATAATAATTTAATATGTTATTATAGTTCAAATTTCTTAAAAATCATATAAAAACTTTAAAATGCTGAAAACTAGCACAAATAAGGAAATAAATTGCGAACGTCGCATTGTAAAATTCTCCAAACGAAAAGACTATTTTTCCGCAAACAATAAGAGATGGTTCATCGACCTTAGTTGTCACGAAGTTCTTTTACCGTTACCGCGTTTACTTTCGTCTTTCAGTGACTAGACCGGCAAACGGAATTTTGGAATTTTATAACTTTATAACTGGTTCTGTATCGGAAATAATGTCAAGGACTCAGCGATTAGTTACGATCAGTTAATTTGTGATATCGCGATATATGTTATATACGTATATTGCAATATCATGTTCACGTAGGAACATAATTTCATATGTTATTTGCGATGTAGGCAGTGAGAATTTATTGGTATATTGACGCCGTCATCCTGTTTCCGCAATTATAGAGGACACAGTATTGGCCAGAGAAACCAAACACTTCGCTTTACCGAGAGGCGAGACCAGAAATATAACACCTCCAGGTAAATTTGTAAGAAATTAATTAAAATTCTAAGAATTCTATTGTTAACTGACACGCCGGCGTGTCCGCGGTCTTGGAGAGATTAAAGAACATTAAAATGACATATTTATTTTATCTTTTCGCATTTTTAAAAGAGTAAAATTTTTAAAAGAGGATTTTGTATTTAAATATAGCCTTACTTCGCTCGGGTCCCCAAGTTAACAATAGCCGATAAAGTAACGTAAACAGTCATTTTCACACATTTTTGTCGGAAAAAATAGCCTATAGCACTTAGCGGTAATATAGCTTCCTATTAGTGAAAGAATTTAGAAAATCAGATTATTAGTTTTAATTTCTTAAAATGACATCGTTATATTAACATTCTCATTTTTTATTTTTATACATTTCCAAAAAAAATCCCTAAAATTAATAAAAACACCTAAAAAATGTATTTTTTTACATAAAAGTTATTTATATTCTATATATAATGAAAACAATCATTTATTCCGGACACGGAAACAATAGGGCTTTATCTTATTAAAGACAAGAATGGTCCATAAAGTTTCTAATTACTTCGAGAGTTTATATAACCTATTATACCTTTATTTTTGCACGTTTATCTTCTCTCTGCGGGATAAAATGATTAAGCAACGGCCACCACGCTTACTTACGCTAAGCTCTTAATAGTTTAAAAAAGTTAAAGTAATAAATTATTACAGAGGGTTATTACTTTGCATAATGTGTTCTTAACAGGTTAATACTATTAAACTTCGAGAGTAAAATAAAACAAAATTGGAATTTAAATAATTAATAAATTAAAAAATAATATTATATATATAATACATATGCTTTATTTATAAGAGTACGTATTATGGAAGGTCTAATTATAATCTGAATGTGTAGATGGTTTGATTTTGTGAAAAGTTTTTGCACGAAGAATACAATTTGTTACTTAGAAAGCATTTTGGAAACATTCGTAATAGGTGAGTTAGAACTATCGATCTAGGCTTAAATTTCTTGAGTAATTTGAGTAATTTCTTGAGTAATTTGGATCAGTGTTTATAAAAATGCAGAACAGTATATTTTATTGTTTATTTAAGAAGCAAAGCTTATTCAATGCTATTATTTATGTTTATAAGTATTTATACACATAGGTTGCTCATATAGTGGGATCACTTATATCTGGCTTCTCATTAAATTACGAAGAATCACACGGTCCGCCTAACGGACCAGATTGCCGGCCATCAGAGCGTGGTAAATTTTCGCATGACATTTTACTTAATTTTATCTTTAATATTTCATTAAAATATTATTATCTTTATATTTGATTCTATATGATTATTATCTTTATTATTAATATTTAATGTGTAGATTATATATTTTATATAAAAATAAACTTCTCAAAGTTATTACCTTATTCTAAATCATTTAAGGAAAATATATCTTTTATTTGTTGAACTAAATAATATACTTATCTCCTTCATTTCAATAACTATATCAATTAAAAACAAGTCATCAAAGGACTAACAAAGGAAATACATGAATAATAGAAAATTTTTAACACTCCTATTAGCAGCCGAAGCGCGGAATCGGATAGATAACGTAAGTAGGTAATAAGTCGGGAGATATTAGTAATAGAAATAAAAAGTTGTTATAAGTTGATAATTAGGTACTTTGATAATTATAGATAAAATTGCAAGTAAGTGTAACTTTGGTCAGAGTAACTTTTTTCACCGTTTCTGCCAATATAAAACGCTGCGTTTTAGGTTAAATTAGGTTAAATTGATAAGTTATGTCATGTAAAAAAATATAATATTATGTATATTAAGCTTAGCAAAAATATATAAATGAATACTCTAGTGTGCTTTCAGCCTAAAACCTCGAGTATTGTCAAGTCAAAAGTTTTCTATATCGTTTACACACAACTTGTCAAAACAATGGCTCACGCTCACGACGCACAGCAGGTCAAAGCTCAGTAAAAACAAACGGAACAGTGTCTTCAATTGTTTGAAGTATTAAATGAAAGCTAATTCTTTAGTTACATTTTAGTGCCAGTTTCGTATGTTACCAAGTTATATTCATTTTTACAAGTAGCTTCTGCCTGCGACTTTGCTCGCATGTTTATTCTTTTTTTAAATAATGTTAATTTTTTTTAATTTTTGAACTGCACTCAATAAATATAGAAAAGGAAGTTAAAATTGCATTAGCTTCTTATTTTTTATAATTCAATAAATTTTTGTATGTGCGGTTAAATTCATTAAATGTAGCTAAATTAAATATTAAAATTGCCATATTAGGTCAGCCATGACTGTTGAACATTATGAATATAACTCGTCAAAATGGAATGCGGGTCATCAGCAACCAGGTCAAAGTCTATTTAGAATAGAAGATAGTGCCACAAATATGAGTTTAACTTGCTTGCTTACAATTTTTTCATTAGATAGATGAAATGCAATGTAATAGTTCATATTTACGCATTCAAATTATAATTGCAATTAGTGTGAAAAGTTTTTAACTTAAATGCATCATTCAAACTTGCGTCCATTATTTTAACAGCTTAATAGGAATATATTGTTACCCGACTGCAGCGAAGCCCAAAGGAGAGTTATGCGTTTGACCTGTATGCATGTGGCGACCTTATGTTCCTTCGTAATTACTAAACACCTTAACCAATTTTGATGATTCATCGGTCTTCATAACGCGTTATAGGGTACATAGGTTTGATTGAAAATATAAATGATGGATCCCAGACGGAAATTTGTGTCTTGGAACATTTTTTTCGTCCAAATTAATCGATTGGAGTATTAAAACATAGTTTTTTAAGAGGCGATTACAAAAATATACACAACTTACATATATATTTAAAAATAATCTAGGATAAGAAATTGTTAAATAAAACTAAACATCTAACTGAACAAAACTAAAAAGCTGTAAATAAAAAAAAATAAAAAAAATTATAAACCCGACTGCGTAAAAAGCGAAAAGTAGTAATTTACGCAGTCGTTTTTTTATTTTTGTATTTTTTTTATTTTTTATTAGAAGTCTTGGGTCACTGTCAAAATCTTACTTTAATTTTAGGTAAAATTTTAATGTTTATTAAGAACATAAAGTTTTTATGCTACACATCGTACCATATTCAAATATTTTATTTCTGAAATTTTATAGTTTCATCTGAATTTATACAGGTTCAAATTAAATCTCTACACATGGTCGTACACATTTATTGGAGCAAATGAATCTTATTTTTTATTACATTAATAATATAATTTTTAATATTGTTTGTTTCTCATTCATCATTTCAACTAGCCACTTGGCTTCTTCATTTCTATTTATAAAATAAAATAAAACAAAAGTACGATGACTTTTCTAGTGTTACAGGTTATATTAGTCATTTAAAGAAACGATAACAAGCCTAGAATATAAGACGTTGAATACATTAACTACCATCTAGTAATTTTTTGCTATATGCCACATTTACTTCTGTGAAGTTCTGTGTAAAGTCATTGTAAGCCATGGACTTTGGCTATAAAAGTGTCATTGAAGAATAATTTCTACAGCGCGTTATGCTTTACGGTCATTTGCTCACGCCGTATCTTGTAGTTCAAGTTTACGCGACAATGACCGTCGTTTACTTGTTTAGCAGGTTTTTAATTTTACAGTTCGTTTTGGTTTATGGCCGTCTTTAGTTGATGCCTGTCGTTACTTAACATATGTAATCAATGTTAACGTAATACTTTACACATATATATATATAATATATATATATATATATATATATATATATATATATATATATATATATATATATATATATATATATATATATATATATATATATATATATATATATATATATATATATATATAAATATATACTTTTTAGGACTCTTTGAAATTATTTCATAGATTCTAAACGGGCAAATTGAAAAGACGGAGGAACAGATGGATACGGTATATTAATGGTCCTAACATATTTTTATAGGTTTCGAGACTTTCCTTTAGACTCGAAATATCAGAATAGCTATATTCTTGTTCTTTATGTTAAACAGTTTTGGTTAACGAAAAAAGCCAAGAGATAAAACTTGTCTTACATTTGTGAATATGGCGTGCTATAACAAATAACTGATATTAATAAGTGTGTATTATTATCAATGTTATATATTTAATAATAAAATATGTTATCTGAACAGTTCCAGGTGCAATGGCGGGCAGGATGCGCTTTTTGTGCGTGCTGATTATCGCCGTGTTTACACTTGTCGATACCAATCAAAACAGGTGAGAAGAAAAACCTTTATTGACGGCAAATTTTATGAGACTGTAGAGGCGCGGGATTTAGTATCTATTCAACCCTATTATGAGTTAGTACCTTATGCCAATCTCCATCCCATAACGATTGAGATTGATCCATAGCTTCGTTAGTGCACGAAAGAAAGACAAAGCAACAAACTCAGTTTTCTATTTTAAATACGATGGATGTATAAGTATATAATAATGGAAAGAAAATGTTTTGTAAAAATATTTTTAAACTTTAATGTCATAATAATAATGAACATACATACATTTATTTATGCAACTGTTTTTACATTTCAGACGCACAAAACCGTATATAGCTGATGCCGTTGGTAATAGCTTACCTCCTCCATCAAGTGTACCAGCAACCGTTGGCAGTCCAGTAAACTTACTAACTCCAGACCGTTATGAATTTTATACTTTCGATGAATCCGGCGAACTTGTTAAAAGGTTGATGACGTTAGAAGAAATACAGGCTATAGTAGCTGCAGGTGAAGAAGCTGATGGTCTAGTCACATTTGCAAATGATAATAAACCCACTATAGCATTTAATTTTAGTCAACCATCGTACACAAAAGTTCATAATGTAGTTACAAACGTAAAAAATGTTTTAAAAGCTCAAATGGAAGCGCACAAAAATAAACCTATTGTACAACCTACATTTGATACTCCTGACGTATCTGATTCTTGGAGTTTGATATTGCCTTCCATATTTGGGAACACTGGGGCAGATATAGTTCCTGATAAAATATCTGGCTCATTTATAACTCCAGAAACGGACACCATTGAAATTGATGATTTAAATACAGGTTTTGAAACTTCAGAAAGTAAAGAAAGTAACGAGATACCTAGTGTTTCACCACCTAAAGTTAATGACAATTTAAATAAAATTCCCGAAACGACTACATCAACAACGATTTCTCCAAGTATAAAATATACTATTTCTTCTACAACTGAACAATTGGCAACAACTACAAAAATATTGCCAGTAACAACTAAACGTCCAATGAAAATAACTAATAAACCTATAACTACATCAACCACAAGCAGGTCTCCAGTACTTTCCACTAGTACTTCATTAATTTCTGTACTATCAGAAAAAGAACCATTAATTACTGCAAATAAAACAATCAATAATAAAACTAGTCAAAATCCTTCGGTAAGCGATGATCATAAGTACTTAAATCGTACTGTATTTAAAACAAACACCACACCAAGTTCAACTACTACTATCAAACCTATCGAGTATGAGAAAGTGAGTACATATTCCCCTGTATCTACAATTGCTTATATAACAGAAAAAAACAAGGCACCAAGTCCGGAACAAAATACTTTGACAAAGAATGAATCTTTAAACGTTACCAAAGCGTCATATAATATTCAATCTAGCACTACTCCTACTTCTTTAGATAAAGATTATGAAACAAATCATTCAACGACTATAACTACTCAGTCAATATCACCATCTACGTCTGTAACTTCAACAGAATTAAGTAACAAAGTTGAACAGAAAAATGATCAACCACTTGTCAATAGCTTCGAAAATAATGAAAGTCAAGCTTCGTTACCAATATTTGATGTAGCTCAAAGTATTAGCCAAATAGCGTCTGATCTTGGAAGTAATTTTGCTCCTGTTCCTACTTCTAATACTTTATTGGATTCGACAAGAATAAATAATATGGATATTGAAAGCAAAGAAAATATAGAAATTGAAATTCCTACAGAAGCAATCATCGAAAATACAAAAACACTTAACCAAAGCATAGATGGTAATCATTTTGTAAAAATATCTACTTTTGATCCCCACGATGAAATTAAGGAAGATGTATCGATTATCAGAGAAGACGAACAGACTACAATGTCTTCAAATGTTGCTATAACCACTGTTACTACTGGGATTATAGACCCTATTTTATCAGTATCAATGGATGATTTATTGTCACAAGTTGTTCATGATAATCCGGATCCAACGTCTATTGTATTTTCTGAAAATAATACCAAATTGGATTTCATTGATGCAACTACTGAGTCAAAATTTGTCATTGAGAATCTTGATCAAGAGACAACAACTTTCAATATAAATGACAGACCAACGTTAGATCCAAACATGGACCATTCAACTGATATTGATATTAGTAAAGAAAAAAACGATTCAACAAATATGACTACAGAAAATTTACCTATTAAAAATAATAAATATATTCCAGAAACTACAATCAATAGCATAATCGATATTAATACTACAACAGAATCTACTGTGAATTTTAAAGACCTAAACGAATACGACAAGTTGAATAAAACTGTAACTCCTACAATTTATGCAGATTTTCAAGAAAAGAAGAGAGTTGCAGATACTAATAATTCTTCACAAATTATATTTAATACAAGCATATTGCATGAAAATATTCCATCTGCACTTGCGAGTGTAAATTCATCAAATAATAAATATATCATTTCATCAACTTTGTTAAGTAATATTTACAATCAAGGAGTTAACTTAAATAATAAAAGCCACGATTTACCGAAATTTGATGAATTTAAAAAGAAAATACAAAAAGTGAACATTGACGACAAAGAATTAGCTACAGAAAGAAATAGTTCATGGAAACTTATACCCACAGTTCCACCCCCCAAAATTAATGAAATGGTGAAAAACAAACATAAAGTTGAAGGATTTTATATACCTGAGAATAATGAGAAAGACATTATTTTAGAATTTCCTAAAGAAAACCAAGGGCTGGAAGTTACAACTAAACATTTAGGTGAAGACATTTTACAATTCACAACACTTTGCAATGAATTGGCTTTTAGGTATTGGCAGATTCTATCAGAAAGTGTGGATAAAAAGCGAAGTATTGTTTTTTCACCGTACTCTATAACATCTACGTTAGCAATGATTTTTATGGGTGCCAAAGGTGGAACGTCAGGAGAGATGAATGAAATTCTTAAATTAGATGATATGGTTACCTTTAATCCTCATTTCACATTGAAAAATATATCAGATTCGATAGAAACTACTTCGGAATCAGGTGTAGCTGTATCTGCATTTGTACGAGAGCTTTTCAGTGAAAGACATAAGAGTAAAATTTTAACATTCTACAAAGAAAGAGCGCAGCATTTTTATAACGGCCATGTGGAAGAAATTAATTTTGAGTTAATTAGCGATATAATTAGAAGGAGAACAAATTTACTAGTAAAAAGATACACTTGGGGGAAAGTTGTGGAATATATAAAAAGTAACAGAATTAGTATGAATCCTCCCCTTGCATCATTTTCTGCCAATATTTTTGAAGTAAGTATTTTAAACTAAAATATTTTGTATAAAGATTTTAATATTTAGTGAAAACTAATTGTTTTGTAAAAATATTATTACATAGTAAAACATTTAAAGATTCTTGAAAAAAAAACATCATCAATATATTATGTATTATATTTTAGTCCTCCAAAATATCCTCAGTTATTAATGATTTTAATAATTTATTGAACTAACAGAGAGATGAATATGTAAAGTATTAAGCTACTGATATAAATTAATAGTATAATATCTACCCATTTTGAACAAAAAACTGCTTAAAGTACCAAGATGAAATGAACCTATGGCACTCTCTAGTCTCTAAAACATGTCTATTAAATTAGGTCTACAATTGTTGTAATACTGCACTAGAAAAGGACAGATATACTTTCTCGTCTCGTTTATAATTTTACAGGCAGTCCGATGAATTTTTTTTATCGGCAATATGAGGAGAAGCTGTCATATCATTCTATGAATTATTAGTTAACTATTCCATTCAAATATTTTCAAAACACGAATTTATCCAAATATATAACTCACATCTACGACCTTATTAGTGAATATATTTATTAATATGTATTAATATTTTTATTTGTTGTCGATTTTCAGACCGATTGCACTGGCACGTCAACCGATGGAAGAGATGGCGAAATTTATTTCGTTGTATCACCTAGTGTTCGACAAAGGCGTCTGGTTCCAGTCCCTGCTGTTGTATATAAAACCAACTTTCTGGCTGGCTACGATCCCAATTTAGATGCTACTGCCGCTGCACTCGGAAATACCAATTCAATTATTAGTACACTGTTCTTAATGCCAGGTCAACAAGGAAACGTCGTCCACGCGGATGATTTGGAAAAGCTCGAAAAGCGTTTATTGAACTCTAGCCAGAACACAGTACTATGGAATGGATTACTGAGAACACTTTTGCCTAGAATTGGCTTAGAATTACAAATTCCAAGATTCTCTCATAAGTCTATTTTCAATATTTCGTCGACATTAAAGACAATGGGACTAAAAGAAATATTTGATGCAGATCACGCTGACTTAGGTGGACTAAATGGACCATCAAAGGATCTTTACTTGTCTGACATGCTACAGATGACAACATTTGCAACTTGTGGGGAAAGCACCATTGGCGAGCAGCATCACATCGAAGAGTACCCAGATACATTAGATTTATCACATAAGCATAGAACTTCCAGGTGGCTTCATGGCTGGGATGAGCCTCGAGATTATCAACGCGCTTTTCATGATCCACATGATGTAGGTGACGCTATGCGCTTGCCTTTACATCTCCGACCAAGACAAGCAAGGCTTCCTGCGAGAAATTCTCAAGCAGCTCGATTAAAATTCGACAGACCCTTCATTTTCTTTGTACGACACAATCCTTCAGGAATGATACTTTATGTAGGACGATACAATCCAAGGCTTTTGCCTTGAACGCTCTAGAAAAGACTGCTAGTTTAGTTTAATTTACTTATTCCTTAAAGGAAAGTGTTGGTATACTGGCGCGTGTGATATATGTATATGAAATTTGTCAATGAATTAGCATTTACGTGACAGTATTACTCTTTAGCTTATTGGTATGGAGGTAGCTCGACGCAATTATGTGACATGAATGTTCGTACCTCTATACTAATTCAAAATGAGATGTATGTAGTTATAAACGAAAAATAAATGTCGATTTCAAGCGAAAGTTGTAGTAATATACATTTAAATAACTCATCCATTTCATTGTCATTTTCGTTCTTATAAATATGATTTAAGATTAAATTAAAATATATACAAAATATTGTTATTTTAATTTAATGGAAAAATTCTTTACATTCTTCATAAAATTCTTTCCACTCAAAACATTCTGGAGAATTTATAACTTTTGGGCAGCTCTGTAAAATATATATAATTAGATTTATAGTGCATATTATATATTATGTAGATATTATTTTTAGCAAATACTACCTATTAGTATACATACCACCATTATATTATGTCTTATACACTTTTGATATTCGAAGAAGTCACATACTTTTACGGGCATATTAGCTCGAAACTCGTCCCGGCAATATACTTTAGCATCAGTCATAGCATTATTAAATTCTGGATTCAGGGCCGTCCATTTATCGAGATGAGCAAAGTAGTTTTCGTTGTTCACATTTTCTTCAGCATCCAATATGGAGTATGTATTTAATATGCATCTCCAATGATCACACTGAAATGAAAATTATCGGCACAATTAAAAATTTTTTAAAGAATTCTAATTTGTCTTAAAACTTTAGGTTTTTTGTTATTAAAAATATTTAGTTAATCGATAATTTTTTGATGTATACAATACACGATCTAGTGAATCGTCTTAGCTTTACTTAAGTCCTCTTGTATAACCTTTTGCAACTATTTTGTCAGACCTTTACTGGGAAAAAGTAAGCTGCAATATTAGCAAGCTATCAATTTCTGATACAAAATCTAACCTTATGTAAAAAAACACCTTTTAATACTTTGATAAGTGAAAAAATAGAAAACCTAAAAAAATAAACTTAAGTATTAATAATACAAACAGCACGCATAATCAATTATTTTTAAATTATTAGATATTACCATAGATCATATAATACTATACTAGACATTACCGAGTTGAAGAGGTGCCGCCTCATATTAGTCACGTTGTGTTTATTATCAATGGACATTAAAGCAAAGCCGGCTCCGCACTCTCTTGCTACTGCTCGATTGAAGAAAGGTGGGAATATACAACAGCGTCTATTCTGTTATAAAATGAACTATTTATTTTCATTTAACTTATAAAGCCAAGATTATACTTATATATCAATAATTATATTTAAAGAACAATGAAATATTGCCGGTATTTTTAGATTATAAAAAATTCCTAATATAGGTACGTCTTATACTCGTAACTTGGTATTACATGATTTAAAGCTTAAACTATGTAAACTCACCTCTAATTCATCAGTCCCATAACATTTTTCTGGTTTTACTTTGTGCTCTAATTGTCCATTTACCTTAAAATATATAAATGAGATAATCTATCTTTATATATATAATTCTTCTGTGAGTGTGTATGTCACTGAACTTCTCTTAAACGACTGGACCGATTTTGATGAAATTTTTTGTGTGTGTTCAAGGGGATCTGGGAATGGTTTAAATTCACAATTTGAATAATAATTTTCATCAAAAAAATTATTAAAAAAAGTTTGAAATTTTTAAATTAAAGACGTGTAGACAGGACAACGTCTGTCGGGTCCGCTAGTATTATATATACACGATAAGTATAAATAAATTAAAATACATACATAATGCACAATTGTGTAAGAAAGAAAAAAAAATAGATTGCACATCGCGTTAGACCATTGATTTCTCATAATATACTGAATCAATAAGGAAATGTTACGATATAACGTTTGAAAACAATTACCATGCTTAGATGTAAAGTGAAACTGTTTTAACAATTCCTAAAATACAATACTTTGTATAATGAACACTGTGTATTATCATTATGTAAGATTCTATTATCGAATTAAAATACTAGTTATTGTCTACGCTTTTGTTTGTAATAAAAAAAACAAATTACATTTATGGTTCGTTTTTCGTGTGCAGCAGTATAGAATAAACTGGTTGCTAGTGATACTAGGTAACTCTTGAATAGACCACGTAGTTACTGTACTTTGAAAAAGAGTAGGTTCAGCAACAAACAGGTTCTTTAGATCTATTTTGGCTATTTTAAGCGTTAGTTCTTAATTATTAGTAAAGGCTAAGCAGGTGTTAAGTTTCTTGACTTTATCTGCCTTCTTCAACGACAGGCTTCACACCAATTTGATTGACGACACGTTTGGCTCAGTTGGTAGTGACCCTTGATTGATGTGCCAGCGGTCGCGGGTTCGAGCCCCACTGGGGGCATTCATTTGTGTGATGAGCATGAATGTTTGTATTCCAGTCATGGGTGTTTATATTTATAATATGTATGTATTTAAAGTTATATATGCGTAGTGTATCAACTATCTGGTATTCATAACACAAGCCTCGTAGCTTACCATGGAACTAGATGGCGCTGTGTTGATGTCCCAACATTTATTATTATTATTAAATTTTCAGTGCTAAAGCACTTTTTTGCAAAAAAATAGTGACGCATTAATTTCTATTTATGAGTCTAAATATCGAAATTTACCACTTAACTTCAAAAACAATGGAATTTCTATATATAAGTTTTCATCCCATACTTCACCCCATAAGTAAACTTCTTCATTTGATTTTTAGTAACGCAATACACACGGTATCAAGAATTTGAAGAAATCATTCTATTATCACTATTATAGACTTGTTTGATTTTATTCAATATTTAATACATTCTAATGTATTCTAATTTTAGTGATATTGAATGATGATTATAACTTTTTCATTCAATCAGTAAGCCAATACAAGTGCCTTTACAAATATATAAATGACATTCGTGTGTTCTATGCGTGCTGATCCGCCATTTATCCAATTACCATGAAACTTTAGTGATACCACGTGATACGTTGTACAGGTATGTATTGAACAAAACCTATTCTTTCCATCGACATTGGCGAGTTGAACAAGAAAAGTTAAATTTTATTAGTGTTCCTATACCATTGCTTATGTGTATGCGTTTACGTCATAATTTTATAGATCTGCGATGATAGCTGACGCCTGTATTGTAGAAGATAATTATTTGAGATACATTAGTCTGATTTGTCAAAACAATCAGGTACTTAATAAGAGTTTGTACGAAATGTATTTAAGTTTATGTTAAACTCGATCGTCTTGGACTAATATGCCTCATACTCATAATATATGTAGATATATTGGTTTAGTGCCAAGAAAGTGGATGAAATGATTTAATGTTGCGCAGTACAAAGTCTGCCAAGCCTCCTAGTAATTTTGTAAAAGTAAATATTGGTGCAGAAATTCAGTTATTTGCAATTCAATCATGTGTGATTTAGTTAAAACTATAATATGAATATATGTTTGTATATCAATACTACTTGGCATAGAATATTTTTATTAAGGTAATGCAGGACTTTATAAATTCACTTTCGTTATAAATTAATCAATAGTACGTTGATAAAAGACAGTCCATGTACAAATACATATGTACTAATATAAGTTACAAGCGTTCTTCTTTTTGCGAATTTCACTTATATAGATTGTGCCGTTACAGAGTAAAGATATACCGAACTTACTTATAAGAAAATTGGTATTTACGTTCTTTAATCAATCTTATTGAATCTTACAATTATTAATTAATCTTATAAATCCAGTTTACATCATAAATATAATGTCAGGAATTTTCGTTGTTATTAGTTATTACTTAATAATGTTATATTTATGTTCTTTATTCTGTGGGTATTTACGTTCTTTAATCAATCTTATTGAATCTTATAATTATTAATTAATCTTATAAATCGAGTTTACATCATAAATATAATGTCAGGAATTTTCGTTGTTATTAGTTATTACTTAATAATGTTATATTTATGTTCTTTATTCTGTGGCTTATAGGCGTACATTTTGGGCACAGAAGAAAATCGTAATATTTCGTGGCTAGTTAAAAAAAGACTGAAACAATTACGGGTGATATTTTTTGCACACTTCGATAAATTTTTTCAAGTTTCCACAATTCTCAGTATCTTTCCAATGTGGGCAATTCTGAAATGTTTAGTCTTTATTGACAATGATTTTAAACGTAAATTATATCATTAATTCTATCAGATAAACATCATTTAATTCTATCAGATATGTAAACTTTATAAAAAAATTTTTGACCATATAAAACATAAATTTTTGGATTAGCCGTTACTCATAATGCGCACATTAATAAGCATGTGACATTATAAATATATTAAGTATGTTTTAAAAAAACGAGTAAAAAACCTTAAAACTTACTGCAAATATAGTAGAAGTGATACAGAAGACTATTTTGTTAGCCTCGCATGCTTCAGATGGACCAGGCAGTTCTTTCTGAATACACTTATTTTTAGCTTCGTTTACGGCATTCAAGGTAGACTTATTATTATGACCAAAATTTATTATATGGCTAAAAGCCCAATTATCCATGAACACATTAAGAGCATCTTTATCTATAGTATCGTCATCTTTCATTAGATTGTTTTTTGACATTAGGCATATTTGTGATTCACACTAAAAAAGAAATAGAAAATATACTTACTATAAGCACACCAAAATAAGTCCTTCAGTCGGTCTTTGGAAGCGCATGGATTTAAGAAATTTACGTTAAAAAAATCGAAATATTGTAGATTAGCGAATTATCTCGCATCGCGCGGCTGCTACTTGATGTAAGCCATAGATTTTCCCTTATATCACACTACTTATTTACTTAAAAATTTTGTGTAGATACACAAAATACAAGTACTATTTTATTTAGTAAGAAATACATACATCAGGTATTCCATGTCTCACTTTATCTTCATCATCTGATTGTAGTTCTATACCGCATTCCTTGAAATCCTGGTCTCTAAATAGTGGACCAAATATACAGCATTGCAACGGATTTTTCTAAGTAATAAAAATATAAAGTAAATAATAATATTAAATTTAAAAAAGTATTAATTACGTATTAATATTAATAATATAAATATAATATATGTGCATATACACATCAGCAGTGTCTAGGGATATTTCACCAAGTACTGGCCATTTGTAAAAGATATAAATGTCAATTTGTTCAGGCACATTTATTTTCTGTATGCTAATTTTAAATTCAAATAAAAAACGGAATGGCAGTAACGGCAAAATTTTAATTAACTGTATAAAGATACAGTTTCTTCTTTGTGTGAGGTAAAGATTTAATAGTTTTTTAACAAAATTTTAATTTATTCGCACATTTAAAATTAAATGAATACTGTAGGTTTTTTCTATGCCATGGAACGCTGACATTTAGGCAGAGAAGTTGAGAGCAATAGGTATGCTGGAAGCAGGCGCGAGACAATGCAATGTTGCTAATGTCATTGGCATCAGTCAAAGCGTCATATTATCAAGATTGTGGTCTCGTTATCTGACTGGCGAGGTGAGGCTGAGCGGCACACTGGGATAAGTTGGATAACCACCGCAAGACATGATCGGTTTTTACAAATTAAGGCGAGAAGACAACCTAACGTTACGACTAGACAAATGGTTTTAAAGTTACAGTCGGAACACCAGGTTTTTTTAGCGATCAAAATTAATTGTTTTATTTAACATTTAACAAAAGTGTCAGGAGGAGAATGTACGAAGTCAACCTTGATGCTCGTAGACCACTTCAGATTCCAGCACTATTACAAGGCAATCGCGGATGAAGATTAGAATGTGCTAACGAACATTTAGCTCGGAACGATCGTCAATAGTTTAGGGTGTTATTTTCAGATGAATCCCGGTTCAATTTCCGTCCAGATCCACAAAGAATACGTGTTTGGCGAACATCTGGACGTGAGAGGGACCTGCGAAATCTCCAGGAAGTCCATTCATATCAAGGTAGAACAATCATGGTATGGGCGCGAAAACGCTTGGGCGGGATAACTGGCTTCGTTTGGGTACACGGCAATTAACTGCTGCAAAATACCGGGAAGAAGTGCTAGCTATAGGTGTCAGCCGTATATAGTTCGACCACACCGGCTGCAAATGGGTCAAGATTGTATGCTTATGCATGATAATGCCCGCCCATATACAGCTCAAGTGGTAACTCAATGGCTATATCAACATAATGGGGCGACCCTGGACTGGCTCGCGCAGTCCCCAGATTTAAATTCAATTGAGCATGCGTGGAATATGCTTCAACAAAGGATTTAACGTAATTTTACTATACTAGTAAACTATATGTAAACTTTTCATGCATCTTCGTCAAACCTGGGACCTTATCCAACAAGGCGATATTGATAACCTCATTTTGAGCATAAATAATTGTTGCAGATGCGTTTTAAGCATCCGAGATGCTTTTACACATTATTCATTTTTTATACAAAATTTGATGTTTCATTTAATTTAGTTTCGTTCTTTAATCACCAAACACAGTAAGCCTTATTTTAGTACAATGAGTAAGGCCCTATATTTATATTTTTTAGCTAAACTCGAAATTTAAATTAAACGTAGGCGTCATAATTTGCTGTTTATCGCTTTTTAATATAAATATGTTGCGTTTTATAAATATAAATTGCATATTTATTTCTTTATATTATTGAAATCATATAATATTTTATGCGGAAAGTGTTGGTCTATAATGATATTTACTACAGTAGAAGCGGGGCCTCTGCACTCTGGCGGTGGTGGCTCTATTGTTAATATCTGAAATGATAAAGTTTATTTTAGAGGATAATTTATTTATTCTCTTTCAAAAACCACTTAATTGATTTGTATTGCGATGCTCGTAAATGAAAGTAACGTTAAAAATATCCTCTTCTATTGTTGAGTTATTGTATATAAATACTATAACTATTAATACTATTTGTAACTGATATACATAAGAAATAACAATAATATCTCTAAATTTTTCTTGTCTTCATATATGATAACAGGATATAAGATACTTTCTGAAAAGATATGAAATGGTTTGAAAAACAGAGTTAAAAATAACATGGCGAAATAAATCCTATATAAGCCGCGCGAGATTATATCAAGGACATGAAATCCTAAACTTTTGATAAAAACTTATAACCGCCTTTAAAATAATATGCACAATGTAAATATATGTTACGCCTTACCTGCAAGACAAACAAATGTAATACAGCTATTCTAAGCATGATTGTTGAGAGTCTACTGTTGTAGTGTGCATTGTGTTGGCATGGTACATGGTAGTCGCAGTGCTAATGTGTTGAACTCAGCAATTACCATTGGTAATTGAGCGCTACGAGAAACCATTAAGGTGTCGCACGCTATAAATTATGCTATTTAAAAACTACATATATTACTCAGCCATGGCTTTGAACTATATAGTAAAGAGTAACTAATATAATGTATGAAGATTAGAATTACGCGTTGAATTCAATGATAATTGAAATAATATTATGTAGGTCTAGTTGTAGTACCCTGTGACTCTATTGTCAGATTTGCTTGAACATAAGCCAAACAGGCATCGAGAGGCGAAGCGAAGCGAATAAAGACGAATTCGGTTCATATGAGTAACTGGGTCAAAATTAATACTGACAGTATCATTTTCAAGATCTGTTATGCTTAAACAGTGAGGTTCCTGCAATATTATTTGTTTTATTAACAAGTTTTTTTGTTTTTGTCGATCACTAAACCATCTTTTGATTGATAATTGTCAAGAGATGGTAAGTGATTTATCTGCTTTGAGAGAACATTCTGTTAAAACAATAATTTCGCAACTAATGTTAAAATTATGTAACAGAACAGATATTTGCTACAAACATTATGTAGAAAAATTGTCCAAGGGAGAGAATACAAAAAGATAGAAATAAAGTAAAAACAAGTGTTAAAGTGCATACTAGATAACTGGAAGTTCTCTTAGGCGCCCTCATAATCTATGGAATTTAAATACTTGTCCTCGGCGTCTCTACGTGGTGGGCAGTTAATCATCTCCGGTTGGATGGTCACATTTTCTCTTGAAACCTTTACGCGTTGCACAGTTTGGGGAAGAAGACGTATGGATACATTCCTTAAAAGAATGTCTAGTTTCACCACAGTGATTACAGGTAGGGCCTGTTTCTCTGCAGAATTTGGCAGCGTGTCCGTATTGTTGGCAATTGAAACATCGAGTAACTAAAGTAAAGTCTCTGACAGGGCACGATGTCAAATTAATGAAGATGCGTCCTCGGTTAATCAGGATCTTTCTGATGTTAGCCGGGACTTCCAACACGTCATTACAGGTCGAAATGTTCCTCTTGCCCGAATTATGGCTAAGGTTTATCGATGCGAGGAAAGACCCACGAAGAGTATATATATATATATAAAGTTTAGATACAACTAGGTCTAACTTTAACCTTAGTTAAAATAGTAGGTAATTATATTAGAGAAATTTGTTTGGTCGAATGATTTTATGAAATATCTGATCACATTTTAATTAAGCTAATTAAATCTACTTATTTAGATTAAAATTCGACGTATCCAAAGAAAATTCTTGCAGCTAGAGCCTCCTCGACTAGAAAATGGGTTACTTTATAGTTTTTTGAGGTAATGCGCTTCTGGATATAGCATGAAATGTAAAAGAAGAACATTACTTGTTTTTTGTTTTTGAAATTATAGAAAATGGAATAAGTATTAAATAATTATCTGTATCCCCTAGTTATAACAGTTAACTATATTAATTTACTCCGTACGTTGAGTATAAACGCGTTAATCTTAGGAACTACTAATTCAATTTGAAAAATTCTTTTTGCATTAGGTTATATATCTCATGGAGGGACCCGAGCGAAGCGAAGGTGAGTCGTTAGTAAATAAATATAAGACGTAATAAAATGACATAATATATTTCAATTGACAAAGTAATATATTTCAATATTTTTCTTTACAAGGACACTCGTACAGCGTACTCCATATATAACCAAATATAGTAAATCTGAAAAATTTCGGGTATTTATGGTGGTGGACATTTTTCAATGAAATCTTTTATCTGTGCGCAGTCATCTGTATCTTCCCATTTCGGGCAGTTCTGAAATGTTGATAATGTCAATGTAAATATTCATCATTCATAATCACATCAAACATAAAATATATTTTACGTATTACTTCTAGTTATACCTAATTTTGGATAACAAGTTTAACTTTGGTGTGTAAAATATATAACTGCTAAAGCATATAAAAAACAGAATCGCTTATCGACACCTTAGTGCTTATTTGTTCAAACCGCCAACACTTGTTGTACTTTACAGTATAGAGATATTACCTCTATTTTCAAAACAAAGCTTTAGTCCTAGTATTTATATACATAATAGATAAAATATATCTTTTCTTTAAAAGTAAAATTTATACTAATAGAACTGACATTTAAAAATCAATATGTACGACTATGTATTAAAAAAACTCGGTCGCTAAATTGATCGTTTGGACAACTAAGCACTGAAACTACGATAAGGTAACACCTCTTAAGGGGTTTTAAGACAGCTACGAATACTTTTACATATATTATATAACATAAATATAAATTTGTATCATTTATATATTGACCAGTTCATTTATAAATCAATAAGTTATATCATGTGTAAGTAAAGTAAAACTTACACTGAATATATTAGTAACGATACAGAATGACATTCTTTTAGGCTCGCATATTTCTAGTGGACCCATCAGCTCTCTGTTAATGCATTTATTTTTAGCTATTTCAACAACATCTTTAAAATCTTCATTAATCTCAGCCCATTTGTCCAAGAACGCAGCGATAGCAGCTCTGTCTATAGTATTTTCGTCTTTCATTAGATTGTACTTTTGCAATAAACATATTTGCTTATCACACTGAAAAGAACGGTATACAGTATATTAGTAATTGCGCTATTAAAACTTTCTTAGAATTACGCTAATATTTGACATCCAAACTTAATATTATAAATGTGAAAGTTTGTGAGGATGGATGGATGGTTGTTACTCTTTCACGCCAGAACGGCTGAATGGATCTGGATGAAATTTGACTCAAAGATAGATTATAGTGTCGAATAGCACATAGATTACTTTTTATCACGGAAAAATGTACGATTCCCGAAGGATAGATTTATTTTTGTCTAGGGATGAAACCAAAGCGAAGTAAGGGTGAGCACTAGTTTTAAATAAAACTAATTTTTCGGATTTTTCACGGAATTATTTGTTTCGAATTCTTTACAGCTATCATAGTCATGGGAAAAAACTAAACTAAACGCTTACAGACAGCATCTACACACAAAATCTCCTGTAATCATGATTGCTGTAAAGCACTCGAAACATCGAGAATTAAAAATCAAAATAAATCCGCGAAAAAATTCGAAAATATAGTTTTATTTAAAACGAGTTATTATTCTTCTTCGTCTTCGGTTTCACCTTTTTATATATTGTGATTGAATTTTCAGCTGTGATTCATTTTAGTTTATAATCAATGATAATAATAAGCACCATATTTACTTAATATAAAAAATGTGATAATTTAAAAAAGAAAAATTTAATAATCTATAAATCACATACATCAAGTGGTTTCGGTTTTATTTCTTCATCATTCATAACTGGTTTCTCCATACCGCATGCCTTTAAATCCTCGTCTTTAAATAATGATGGCAAATTGCAACATTTGAAAGGATTTTTCTAGGACATAGGAACACCATTAATAAAAAATAATGAATTATTAAATCACTTTCGCTTTTAATAATTCATTTTAAAATATTACGAATGTATTTGAAATATTAAAAGTAGCTTTAATTTAAACAAGAGCGAATACTCTAGTTTATATACTATGGAATTTGTTTTTTTTTTTTTGGAAAAAGGCCTATTCTATATTTTTACTAGATAAAATAAAAAGGAAAAATAAAAACTAAAAGATAGATATTTACCTATTCTATTAGTACTAGATAGATGGCAATGACTATAGTTTTACAGATAACACTAGTACAATAACAAAAACATAATAATTTCAATGTGTTCTCGTAAAATTTACTACTTTTTATTCAAAAAACTTTAGAAAAAATATTGCTTAAATTTTATTTACCACATTGTGCCACGGTTTTCTACAATTATCAGGCGGTGGTTCTAACGTTAGTACCTGAAATGATAATGTTATTTGAAAAAGCTGAAATTTTCATCATACAATTCTTTTCTTAAGAATATGTAATCTTGTAATGCTGAAGCATAATTTACAATAATTTTGTATGTAAAATATGTTTACTGGGTACTGAATAAAATATATTTATACGCCTTACTTGCAGAACTGTCAAACACAATACAGCTATCCAAAGCATGACTGACGCCTAAATGCTTACTGTGTAGTTCCATGCAAAGGAACTAGGTTTTATACTCAGCAATTATGGCCAGCTTTTGTTCGCTACGGGAAATCATCAAGGTGTGACATAGTTTATAATACCAAGTAATCACTTTAACAAAAAATTTAATGTAACTTTTAGGTAATTTTATTCCTTAACGAGCTTGAACGGCGAGTTCGTTTATGTAGCTATACGTTAAAATAAAGTTTTGATATAACTCTTCGCACTGCCCGAGCCTACCGTTAAAAAAGGGCTGAATACATATATTTATAGCAACCAAGTTAAACTAATTCTCAAGGTTCTGAATAATTAAACTAGGATTTATGTTATTAACATAGAAATCGATCAATAAAAAAATTTACATTTACTATAAATTAATTAGGAACACGACTTTTATGTGCCAAAAATGTAAATGGTATCACCGTACCAGTAGACCAATCAAAATCCGCTTATTTTTAAGAGAAAAAAAAAATTGAAAACCTGAAGTTTTATGATTTTTAAATATTATTAGCAGGTATAATATAAGGAATAGAAATTCGTAAAATGCTCCCGATGCCTTACTACCCCCGGGAAATAGGGGGACGCAAAGCGTTTAAAAATAGTTTATTTCAATTTCCGGCTTACTGTGACGTTCTATCGAAAAATGTTTTTCACAAAAGTTGTAGGTTTAATAAAAATCTACAACTTTTATTTTTAACACTTTTTGAAATAACCTCAAAGTTTTCGAGATATATGCAGAAAACTCGGTTTTTAACTTTTTCTTGGTTTTTTATTTTTAACTAGCGGCTCACCCTCGCTTCGCTCGGGTTCGTCGTTAGGTACGTTTAGTTATTACATTGGCTAATAAC